CAAAATCACAAAAAAAAAAAAAAAAAAAAAAAAAAAAAAAAAAAAAAAAAAAAAAAAAAAAAGGAGTGCTGTGGGGTGGAGGAAGGAAAAGAGGCTGAGGAGAACCCTAAATGAAAGCCAAGGGAAGATGTTGCAATGGGGAAACAAGTTTGGTTTTGATGTTTTCATCTTCTTCTTACACTTATACAATTAGTCTTAATCAAAACATATTCCTTGAAGCTAAGCTTGAGATACCCAATATCTGCTCCCCAGGTGCTGATAAGCAACATGACGTCATTCATGAACCAAGACAATTTCCGGCTTCTCTCTGTTGCCTCAAGACCCCAGGGGCTCCACTAGTAAACTCGGGTGGGAAATGTCCTGAGAATAGCAGGGTTTTTCCAAGATACTGGCAGACAGTTCCATTTCAATGGCAAAGGGTACACAGAGATTTAAAGGGAGGGGTGCAGGGCAGTGCGGTGTGAGCTCTACTCATATCCTGAGCCATGGGGTGGAGGTAATGCTAGGAACTGAGATGCCTTCCTCTAAGGCCCAGCGCGCGGGCATTGGCTCCCAAAGGCAGTGAACACAATGCCCACTTTCGCCTGGGAGCCCACTCATACCTCCTTGGGGACTAGGTCAGGTAGTGCCCCCTCCTAGTCCCCGAAAACACCTAAGATTCATCCCTATTGCCATGGCTTGGATACTTTTTACTTAACTGACTTTCCCATTGCACAGTGGGGCCTGACATTGCCCGAGCCAGCCATCTAGTAGGTGCCTAGTCCATGTGCAGTGAATGGGCAAATTCCTTGTCAAGCCAGATCAGCAGGCACCCTGCCCAGAGAAGGTCCATTCCTGACCACATGTTGTACGTCTACCTGGTGCCTCTCGCCAGCTAGGTGATAACAATGATGATGATGCTAACAGTAACGCTGATGACAAGTGGGCACTTCCTCTGCTCTGCGCACCAGGCACTGGGGTAATGCCGGAGTCCTGCATTCCCTGGCTGCATGCCTCTTTTGCAGCTGACTTCAGCAGAGCAATGCTGCTAACATCTAATCCACTCCTCATTCATACCTCCCTACCAGGAGTGACTTCTTAAGTGGAATTGGGGGACAGAAGGAACAGCCTGCTAAGCTCAGTGCCATCTGGCTTCTCCTGCAGATCTGCTTGCCCACAAGAAAGGTGCACCCTCCTCTGCCCCTGCAGCAGGTGCCTGCCCCACACGGCTCAGCCTGGCACTGGGTGGGTCTAGTTCAGGGGAACGATGGGAAACACACTTTGACCCTGATGCACAGCATCTTATTAATTGAAGATGTACATGTTAACATCTCTGAGATTGGGATGCATCTTCCAGTTGGTTGTGATGTTTCTTTCTTGGTAGGACATCTCATACTCAATGGCATCTTAAATTCAAAGAAACTTGGTAAGCAACATTCTCTAGTTAGCCTTATCAGAGAGCTGGTATTTTGCTCTCCATCTGTCCCAACAAGTTAGTACTTAACTGGCTCTGAGCACAGGCAGTGGGGGAAGGGGTATTACTTATCACCACCCTTACCATCCAACCTCTTGCACTGCGCCCTTCCCATGTCCTGAACTATGCAGATGAGGAAGACGCCTTCTCCAGCCTTAAGAACATGAATGGCCCCGGGCAGGGAGAGGAGAAGCACTAGCAAGCCAACTGAGACATAGAGGACTCATGTCATCCAAGTGTGTGCATGCACGTGTGTCCATAAGTACATATATGTGCACATGCATGGGCACTCAGGCCTTGCCCCTGCACCCTGTGGCTCCTGGTCATTGTCTCAGCCCACTCTTCCTCCCTTTGCTGGACTCCTCAGAGATTCCCAAAGTCCACTCCCCAGTCCTCTCATCTGGCTTCCGCCTGACAATGAAGGTCACCTTTATGGGTTGAATTGTGCCCCCACCAGACCTCTATGTTGAAGTCCTAACACCCAGCAACTCAGAAGGTGACTGTATTTGGAGACAAGCCCTTTAGAGGGGTGATTAAGTTAAAATGAGGCTGTTAGGGTGGGCTGGCATGGACCACTTCAATATGACTGGCATCCATATAAAGGGGAAATTTGGACTTATAGAGGGAAGATGATGAGAAGAGGCAGAGTAAGAAGATGACCACAGGCAAGCCGGGAGAGAGGTCCGGAGCGGGTGCTTCCCTTGCAGCTCTCAGAAGGAAACAACCTTGCCCACATCTTGGACTTCCGGCCTCCCGAACTGTGGGATGGTAACTCCCCGTTGGCTAAGCCACCCAGTTGGAGGTGCTGTGTTACAGTAGCCCAAGCAAATGAACACACTCACCGAGAACATCCCAGTGCCCGCAGACAGCCACTCCTCCCGCCTCTTTCACTTCTTGTTTGTTTTTCTGCTGTCACCCAGGCTGGAGTGCAGTGGCGCAATCTCCGCTCGCTGCAACCTCTACCTCCTGGGTTCAAGCGATACTCCTGTCTCAGCCTTCTGAGTAGCTGGGATTACAAGCACCCGCCACCACGTCCAGCTAATTTTTGTATTTTTTTGTACGGAGGGGATTTCGTCATGTTGGCCGAGCTGGTCCCGACCTCCTGGCCTCAAGCGATCTATGTGCCTCGGCCTCCCAAAGTGCTGAGATTACAGGCACGAGCCACCGCACCCAGCCATTTCTCCAGTATGTAACACCAAAACTTGCTCTGCAGCAGCAATGGCACAGCTTCTGCTGGCCTCTCCCACTGCCCCCCTTCATCCAGGTGCCTGCCAATGCTAGTGTCTCCCAACTCCTGCACATGCTGGCCAGGGGGCCTCCTTCTCACTGAGGCTTCCACCCACATCTGAATGCTAATGACTCCAAAGCTGTCTCTAACTTACATATGTGATCCAAGGTTTGGAGCAGAAATCCCCCTGCCTCCTGGACATCTCTGCTGCATATCCTGCAGGCATCTCAAACAATACCTATTCAAAACTGGGCACTGGGCATCCTTTCCTGGTCTCTGCCCTCCCCAGTACATCTGTCCCAGTGAAGGGCCCCTTTGTGTCTGGGACAACTCCCTTGGTCTACTGGTCCTGAGACTAGGTGACAGACTTCTCTACATACACAGGGCACCCAGTTCCCTTCGGTACCCTGGGTCACACCATCCTGTCATGGATCCTGGGACATCTTCACAGCAGGAGAAGTGTTGGACTCAACTCTGTGCAGAGAGATCTCAGACGCACACTCTGGACAACGCTGTCCCAGAGGAAGGGAGCAGAAACCCTTCCATACTAGCTATATGATGATCAAGCAACTGCCACTCAAAGAGGCACCGCATCACAGACAAGTTTTTATTATCCTGCATAGAGAACCCAAGAAATATAAAAACATCTCCAGGAGAAACCCCCTCCGACTGGCCCCCTCTCTCCCTGGGTGAGCTCAGACCAGGGTAACAGGGGCTTGCAGGCTACCTCTGTCCAGTGAACAAGTTCCATATAAAAATAGATCTGTAGAGGGCTCCCAGAGAGCCACTGCCCACACCACACCTGTGCAGGACCGAGGCCTGGGACCCATCGGGATTCTGGGACCTCACTCCTCAGTGGAGGGGAGATCTACCCTGGACACCGAAGTCTTGCCAACACAGCCAGGGGCCCTACTGCAGGAACAGCTGGGGTAGGCAGAGGAGACTTTGCCCTGCAGAGAATGACTGATGTGGCTGGAGATGGGGATGAGGCTCCATCCACCCAAGAAGGGAAGCTGGTCCCCATATCCCCTGGATGCTGGTCTGGGCTTCCTAGGAGGGGTGGGGTGGGGAAGGCAGATCCTGGAGGGCACCTGGCCGGGGGCTCCCCCAACCCTGACAAAGGTGGTAGCAACATATTGGTCTCCCCGGTACTCCCAAAGTCACTGAGCTGGGGCGGGTGCTCAGGAGACGGGGAGGCAGGGGGCTGGGGGAGATTCCAAGAGGTGGGGAGCTGCTGCTGGCAGGGTGAGGCCAAAGGCACAGCTGTAAGTCATGTCCCCCACCTCGAGGTGCTCTGCAAAGACGCCCTGTACCTTCCCACCTCTGGGCTTTTTCTCATGCTAGCCTCTCTGCCTGGACTCACCTTGTCTGAGGCCTGCCATCTTGCCTGCCTAACACTCCACCCACCCCAAGGAAAGAACCTCCCCTCTCCCGCCCGCAAGGCCCTGCTCAACTTAATCTCAACTTCACACATGGAGAGTGGGCATCTCCCCCTCCAGCCTACCCACCCACTGACCCAGATGGCTGCTGGGGGCCCTGAGCACTGGTGGATGATGCTCTGGAATGACTTCTCAGTACCTGAGCTCTTCTCCTGGGCTAGTCTGAACCCCTGCAAGGGCAGGCTGTGTGTCTCTTTCACCTCCTTCCGCTACTCCTGTCTCCTTCTTCCTGCACCATCCCACCCCACCCACACACCGCCAAGCAGAGCAGACAAGTGTCAGGGGTGGCCTGGACAAACTCAGCCCCTGTAGCCCTACCGAGATCCAGCTGCCTTCCTGTCATCCTACAAAAGCCCTGGCACCCTGACCCCCACCATTCCTAGGGTCCCTTGCGGATAAGAAACTCTGCGGTGGGCTCAGCACAACCACTTCTGCCAGGGTTCCACAGAAGTCAGAGCGGGGAGGGGCGGGCTCCATGGAAGGCTGCGTAGTGCCCAAGTCACGGAGCTGGCTGGAGGGGGGTCGCTTCCAGAGTCCCCTCGGGCTGTACAGGGAAGTGGTGGTGCCATAGGGCAGAACCAAGTACTCTCTCTCCAGAGCCAGCCTCGTCCCTGGACTGGGTTCTGACCCCAGCTCTGACCCTGATTCCTCACTTGGCTTCAGTTTCCCCCATCTAGGGGTTAGACCAGCCTGTATAAGAGAGAGGACCCGTCTCTGAGTCTCCTCTTCACCCTCATCAAGGCTGGAGAGAAAAGCTCTTGGGTCCCTGGGGAGATAGGCCTTCATGCTTTTCCCAGATGTCCTGGCCACTGAGTTCATAAAAAGAATGCACACGAGGGCCTCCTGGGGCCTCAGGGAGCACCAGGGCCTTTGTGGTCTGGCCTGGCTCTTGGGTGTCAGCCCCTGAGCTCAGCACCATCTTTGCCTGCCTGGGCCTTGGCCAGCATCCAGTCAGCCCCGCCAAGGCACAGGAAGTTGAGAATGATGCGACTCCGGCCCCGCCCCCGACGCCTGAGCCACCAGGCAGCTGCGGTCACTGCCAGGTGGAAGAAGAGCACCCCAGGACCCATGCTGTCTGACTGGTCACTGGGTCTGTGGGAAAAGGGAGCATCCCACGGGGTAGGTCCCAGCCCCCAGTGGGTACAAATGGCAGTTGGGCATGGGCCAGGCAATCTCAACCCACTGTCTTCACTCCCATCCCTGCTCCAGCTCTTCTCTGAGACCCTGAATTTCCTCCTGCTGTTATCTCAGGGGTCCTCCCTAGAGATCTGAACCTCTTTTCAGGGACACTGAGTTGGCCAAGGTGTTCAGACTGGTGGAAATGGGAGGAGCAGGCAGTGAAGCGGGGAAGCTGCGGCCTCACACCAGATCTGGGCCCAAGCGAGGAAGACGGCGCTCCCTCCCACTGCTGGAGCACAGCTCGCCACGGTCCTTGGGCAGGGCTGGGGGTCTGGACCCCCACTAGAGTCCCGCCTTGGAAGAAGCGGGGCCACTCACACCTGCACCCCCTGGCCCTGCAGCTGGAGCACTCGTGCCTGCAGGGCACCGATCCCGCTAAGGAGGGCCTCTCGATGTTCAGCCGAAGAGATGCCCAGGCTCACCAGGTCCCTGAAACAAAGGCTGGTCACACAGGCCGGCTTGACCCCAACTTCTGTTCCTCCCACGAAGGCCCTCCACTCTCCCTCCCCTTTTCTGGACAAGTCAGGGCTCCCCAAGATAGTCAGGGGCAGGGTCCCTGGAATCCCCCAGCCCTAGCCTTGACCTTGGTGCCTTGGACTCACTGGGCGGTCATCTCGGCCACAGCCTCCAGGCTCCCGTAGCCAGCAGCTGCGAAGCTGTCCTTGTAGCGGCACAGGTCCAGGGCCTCCAGCCACGCGCCCACAGAGCCAAAGGAGGGGAAGGTGGAGAAGGCACGGTCCGCTAGCGGGGTGGGAGGCCTGAGGGTCAGAGGAGCTGTGCTCAACCAACAGCTGGGATCTGGGCCCAGACCTGGTGGCCTCCCGAGGAGAGGCCAGCTGAGGGTGGACAGGAGAAGAGGAAGGTAACCGGGCCCCAGGGCTGAACCCGGCTCACAGGGGCACTGTGCATTCCCGCAGAGGCGAGGGCTTCAGGCTCTTCAGGCATGTGGAGGCAGAGCCAGCTAAAGGTATGGGAGTATCTGGAACAATCTAGGGTAGGACATGCCTAGGACTGGTTGGTGGCTCATATTTGGAACAATGAATATTAATTTCACATATTTGATTCATTGGAACTACAGATGTGTTAGGGCTATTACCAAGTCTGTTTCTCCAGTCAGAGGCCATTGCACCCAGGGATGTGGGCAAAATCCAGGAGAAGCAGAAGTGACAGGACAGATGTGCAGTGAGGTGGGCCTGGGCAGATGGGAGGCTACAGCCCTCCGGGGCAATAGGGTGAGCAATCGCTCCTGGACAGGTAGTGGGGTGGGTGGAGGTGGTGGGTTTGCACTTGCAACATGCAGGGAGGCCCTCCGTGGGCAGATGAGAGGCCGGGGGTCCCACGTGGGAACATACCTGGGACAGGTGGTTGGGGCACACTTGGGGGGCTCTGGGTCCTGCACCATCTTGCTCAGGATGCTGTGGATCTGGGAGAACCTGGGCCGCTCACCTGGGTCCTTCTGCCAGCAGTCAAGCATTAGTCGGTGCAGCAGAGTGGGACAGTTCCTGGGGGGTGGCAGCCGAAAGCCATCCTCCACAGCCTTGATCACCTGGGCCATGGGGGTGGAGAGCAGAGAGGAGGCTCTGGGTTCCCCCAGCACACCATGCACACACACACACACACACACACACACACACACACACACACATGCACACATTGCAAGGAGAACTCGGGCAGTGGCCAGGCAGAACCAGACACAAGCAGAAGAAGAGGGGCCTGGGACAGGAAGGCTGAGGGTCAATGGGCAGAGGCCAGGGAGCTGGAGCCCGAGGTGAGGAGGTCGGAAGGCCTGGAGCTGAAGCCACAATTACTCACGTCTTGGCCAGACATGTCCCAGTAAGGCCGCTCCCCAAAGGCCATCACCTCCCACATGACGATGCCGAAGCTCCACACGTCACTGGCAGAGCTGAAGTGGCCAAACTGAAGTGTCTCAGGGGCGGCCCACAGCGCCGGGCTCCGGCCACTCTGTAGGGGCGGGCAGGTCAGGGGTAAGGAGGAACTGGGTCACACACAGGTTTCCCCACCACGCCGAGTCGCAGATCCAGCCCTGCGTGTCATCCTCCCAGGCAACCCCTAACCCCAGCCTCACATCTGAGAAAGGCAGACACACTGATTTCAAGGCAGGGTACCCTCTGACATTTATTCCAAGACCAACTAGGCGGAGCGGCAGGGAAGGGAATGGAAGTGGGGAGCTAGGGGCTCCAGGGCAGCTTGGTGGGAAACAGGTGGTGCAGGCAGGCTCAGCTGGGGGAGGGCGCCCTCACCATGGTGGTGTAGACAGCCTCTGCTCGGTCCCGGGGGCCACGCCCAAAGCCAGAGATCTTGCAGACAAGGTCGCTGCTGACCAGCACACGGCGAGCTGCCAGGCCCCGGTGAACGTAGCCCATCTCTGACAGATACTTCATGGCTGATGCCAGCCCAGGCAGCAACCCCATCAGCTGCCCAGCCATCAGCTGTCCCTCGTGCCGCTGCAAAGGGAGGAGACAGAGGCCAGGGCTGTGGGCTTGGATTCCCTGGTGTTGTGTGACACCACGGTGGTCACCTAGCTCTCACTGTGCTTTACAATGTGACCACAGGTCAGCCCAGCCAGTGGGGATGATGCCAATTCCAAGCCCTACCAAAGAGAAAAGTGGAGGACCCCTGCCTGCTTTACAGAATAAAGTTGTCATCGGCAGCCCCAGGGCCACTCACCCTGAGGAAGCCGTCCAGGGCCCCATGGCTCATGTACTCGGTGACGATCATCAAGGTGCTTCCTGTGCCCAGGGATGGGAACACACATGCTAAGTTGCCTGCTCACCCTCCACCCTGTACACACACAAGTTTCCCCACTAGGGCCCCAGACTGGGCCTCAAGAGCCGGAGGCAGCACCAAGCCCCCAATCTCAGCACCCTCCTGCCCTGCCCAGGGCCCCCTAAGCCAAGGAACAAAAGAGGAGACATCCGTAGGGGATAAAGGTCAAGGTCAGGAGCTGCAACAAGCTTGCTAAGGAAGATCACTCAAGGGCAAGGGGACCCACCCCCTAGAGTATCACAGGTCAGAAAGGTCACTCTGAGCCAGAGTGGCCACTCTAGGAGAAGGGCCACCCTGGGTCAGTGAAAGCTGAGGCCGCTGGCTGAAGTTCCCTCCCACGGCTGAGGGAAGGACCTGGAGGGGCAGGGGCACCCCAACTCCCACCCCATCATTACCACCCCCCATACCCGGGGCAGCAGGAAGAGGGGCACCAGGCCCTACCTCGGGTGACAACACCCTCCAGCCGCACGATATGGCTATGGTCAAACTGGCCCAGCGTGAGGGCCTCGGCCAGGAAGCTGAGCCTCTGTGAGTCGGAGGCACTGTCCCTCAGTGTGTGCACGGCTACGGGCAGCTCCTGGCGGCCAGGGAGCTGCAGGCAGCCACAGCACAGCTCCCCAAACCGCCCTGTGGAGAAACAGCGTGACTCTGACTAGCCTGGCCAACACGGCAAAACACATAAGTTAACCAGGCGTGGTGGCGCATGCCTGTAATCCCAGCTACTTCGGAAACTGAGGCAGGAAAATCACTTGAACCCAGGAGGTGGAGGTTGCAGTAAGCTGAGATTGTGCCACTGAACTTTAGACTGGGCAACAGAGCAAGACTCCATCTCAAACAAAAAAAAAAATAAAGAAAGAAAAAAAGTGACTCCAGATCATAGACTCTTTCCAATTTAAATCCTGGTAAACAGAGTAGCAGTGTGACCTGGAATTCCAACTCTTCCCCTCTCTTGGCCTCAGTCTCCTCTGTGAAATGAGGATTCCTCCCTGCCTTCCTCAGTTGGGGGAGGTTTCCAAGACTTAAAGAAGGGACGTGGCACATGCCAGTGTGCCAACAGCCATCAAACCCCATGTGACCCAGGATAGATGGCGACGACATGTATTCTGCCACCCTGCCCCTTTCCAGCTTCTGTCCAGCAGGTCTGGAGACAGTGTCAGGGAATAATGTCAGGTTCCCCGCGAAAGCAGCTGCTGTCTCTGAGCACAGGGGTTGAGGATTTGCAGTCAGGAAGAAAGGCCAGCAGGAGTCTGGCCCTTAGAGGGCAAGCACCAACAGCCAGCCCCTGTGGGGAGTACTGGGAGGTCCCCACAACAGCCCCCAGGAGGCAGATATCATGCCCATGTCACAGATGAGAAACTGAGGCTCTGAGCAAAAGAGGGACATGCCCCTGATCATGAGGAGGTCAGTGGAAGAGCCAGGACTAGAACTCAGGTATGCCTGGACCCCAGGCTTGCAAAGGCCCTTCCCCCCTGCCACATGAATGCCTGGGACTAAACTGCCAGTGGCAGTGTGCAGAGGTCATGGAGGGACCTTGAGGACCGGGAGAGGGTCACAGACCTTCTGCCACCCTCTTCCCTGTAATCAGCCAAGGCAGGGACTTTCTGGGTGGAGGGTGGGCTTGGTGTGGAGGCAGGGTTTCCAGGCAGGGACTTGGGTGGAGGTGGGCTTCAGGATAGAGGTGTGGACAGAGTGGGGGCATGGCCTGTAGAGTAAGTGGGGCTTCCACATGGGGACAAGGTTTCCTGGGCACCCAGCTTGCCTGCTCCAAGGCTCCTCTCCAGCGTGACGCTTTTCACATCCAGCTCCTTGGCGAACAGATGCACAGCCTGCAGTGGGTCCCCACAGCTCTGGGGGTCCAGGAATGTGCGACGTGTAGGGACTTTGACTGGGAGAGAAAGAGATGAGCCTAGGGAAAGGGGCCACCATCGCTGGGGCGGACACAGGGGCTCATGCAGTGGAGCTAGGTCAAGGGCGGAGGAGTAAGGCAGGGTGGAGCCCACCCCTCCCCAGCCAGGCCCAGCCAACTCACAGTGGAAATACAGCTCCTCTTCATCATGGGCATCTCCTCCTCCTTTGCCATAGCTGCAGGGCCTGGCAGGAAGTTCAGGGTCATTCTTTCAGCCAGGCTGCCCCAGCCCTTCCCACTGCAGAGCATTGAAGGCAGCACCTCTTTGTCCCTTCAAAAGACAAGGTCTGTGCCCTGGGGGAGGGACCTTCTTGTCCAGCTGGTTGAAAAACTTCTCTGTGGTTTGACTACCTCCCCATAGCACAGATACAACTTAGCCCTAGACCAAACCCTCACCACTGCCACCCTTCCCAGTTACCTGCACACAGTGAAAATGATTGCAACTCCAGAGGCACCCAATCCATACCCTGACTGCAGCCCCCAGCTGCCCCCACCTGCGGTTCTGTGAAAGTGTGAATAAGGCAAGCAGACCCAGCACTCAGGGCAGCTTCTGGTCTGGTCAGGAAAACAAACACGGAGAGTTAGCCATAAGCCCACTCATCAGTGCCGACATAGGAGAAGGGTGGTGTACTGTGGGGACATGGGACAGACAGGCCTGACCTGATTCAAGGTCACTGTGGATGGCTTCCCGAGACAGAGGCAGCCAAGGGCCAAAGGACTGCATCACAGTCAACAAAGCCATAGGCTGGCACTTGGGTTCCCCCAGGGGTGGGGCCTTACTGGCCCAGATAAAGACTTCGGCTTTTATTCTGGGAGCAGAGGAGAGCCCCTGTGGGGTTTAAGCAGAGGAGTGCGGTGATTTGATTTATACTTTAGAAAGAGCTCCAGTTGCAGGGTGGAAGCTGCCGCTGGAGTCACCACAGGGGACGAGCTGGCAGTGGTTCTGCCATGGGGTCCACATGGGCATGGAGAGAGGCAGGGGACTCCAGTGACAGGTAGGTGACAGGGACCACAGGACTGAGAGGCGGCCGGATGGCAAAAAGGAAGAGGGACAAGTTGCCCACAGAGTTTATGGCGGTGCCATTTACTGGGACGAGGAGACTGAAAGTTCACATTTAGACATCTGAGTTTGTGGGCCTGGGGAATAAGCAGGAAAGATAAGAAGGGAGTTCAACGTGTATGAGTCTGGAGCTTGGAAGAGAGGCCTGCTCTGCAGATACAAATCAGGAGCCACAAGCATGGCCCAGGGAGAGGATGGAGCCTGAGAAGAGGGACTAGGAACAAGTCTGAGAAACCCCAACAAGCAGGCTAGAGGAAGGAAGAGGGAGGACAGTACAAAAGAACCGCCAGAGGAACAGGAGAGAGCGGGGACATGGGGGGCGCTCTGGAGGCGATACTGCGGTTCACAGGGATCAAGGACAGAGAAAGTAGAGAGGTGGTGAGAGAGGTCACATAAAGGTACAAGGAGGAGAGACCAAGGGAGGAGTCTCCAAAGTTTTCACAGGAGAGATGATGGCGTGTAGATATAGATGGGAAGGAGGAGCAAGGCTGTCACACAGGGGGAGGTGGCCACCAAAGGGTGTTGACAACCTGGGCTGGGAACCTGACCACACGAACCTGCTTCCGAGCTCCTCCACCCCGTAGCTGTGTGACTGGGTGGCTCAGTTTTCTCTTTAATAAAATCAGAATAAAGCTAGGCCTGCCAGACAGCAGGCTGTCAGACAGCTCACCAAGGCTCCACACATATCCCCTGTTATGTGGGGCAGAGGGGGACGTTAGGAGTAATAGTGACAAGATGGCAAAAGGGTGGAGTTCAGTCATAGGTGGAAGGATTGCTCCTGGCTGGGAGGATCACCTCCTCTAGAGAAAAGGGGGTGAGGATGGGTGCAGAAGCAGGCACGTTTGTGGGCTGGGTGGTGAGAAGTCCAGGGGCCAGTGATGAGGCTAAAGACCAGGTGTGACAGGTGTGACTGAGAGAGCAAGCTGCAAAGACAGGGTGTCTGCAGGCCAAGAGTGGAACTGGATTAAGTACTGGGGTGAGGTCGGGCATGGTGGCTCACGCCTATAATCCCAGCACTTTGGGAGACCAAGGGTGATGGATCACCTGAGGTCAGGAGTTCGAGACCAGCCTGGCCAACATGGTGAAACCCCATCTCTACTAAAAATAAAAAAAAAAAAAAAAAAATTAGCGGATATGGTGGCACAGGCTTGTAGTCCCAGCTACTCAGAAGTCTGAGGCAAAAGAATCACTTGAACGGGGGAGGCAGAGGCTGCAGTGAGCTGAGATCACGTCACTGCACTCCAGCCTGGGTGACAAGAGCAAGACTCCATCTAAAAAAAAAAAAAAGTATTGATGTGAAGCATTCTAGGGGGATGGTCAGGAGGAACAGAAGGGATGATCCTCGGGAACGAGAAGTCAAAGAACCGAGAGGCAAGCAGGGGGACAGGCTGTCCAGCAGCTACGGAAGTCACCCAAGGTGGTGACAGGGCTTCCATGAATGAGGGGCAACATCCAGGAGAGATGCGTGGAGATGAGGTGGGGAAGGCTGAATGGATGGAGGAGCGAAAGAGGGTACATGGTGAGGAGAGGAGAAAAGCTTCCACTGGACCACATGGCTGAGTGAGAAGTGGGCAAGCCAGGGTAGACTGGACAGGAGGGAAATTGGAGGTGAGGGACCACGGCGCAGAGCAGGTTGGCCTAAGAGGCCTGCCTGGCTGGGACATGCCTGCTGGAGAAGAACGTCTCTCTACCCCTCTGCACTCCCCATTTCGGTGCAGCTGGATTTGGGGTTTGGAATCCTGCCCGGGCTTGCTCTGCCTCTGTAGGGCACCTACCTCCAGGGTGCTCCTGACCTGCAGAGCCTCTGCTTGAAAGAGGGGCTCTTGGCTTCCTTGTCTCCCTTTCCTCTTTCTGCCTCTCATAGCCCCTCAGTGCAAAGCCAGGATGAGGTACTCGCGGCACCTGTTCATCCCTGCTTTTCCAACGGAGCCAGCACAGGGACCTGCATGCTCCATGAGCAAGGAGCACTCTACTCTTGTTCTGACTTCCTGGTTCGCCTGGCCCAGGCAGAGCTGGCTCCCAGACTAGCAAGACAGTGTTCTCTCCCACTCAGTCACTTTCAGTGCCTCAATCAAGGCCAAGCAAATAGCCAGTGCCAAATGAATGCCCACTGTCCTTCCAGCCACCAGGCAGTTCCACGACACTGAGATGTGGCTCCCCAGCCCACCCACCTCTCATCTGCTTCTCCACTCCAGCCCATCTCATGCAGACTTTCCAACCTCTCCAGTCTGCTGACTTCAGCCCAGCCTGGGACCCATCTAGGACGACTCTGCCTGCAGCAGAGTGTGGCCCTGGGGAGAAGAGGGGATACATGCCAGGAGGCCTCTGCTGCCTGCAAAAGGACTAGAATCTTCTCTGAACCAGACTCAAGCCAACTCAAGCTCTAGGTCTTTCCCCTTCCTCCTAGCCCCTTTCTCTGCTCACCCTCCTGCAAGCTTCTGTCTGGTGGGAGTGGGAGGTTTCTGCTTTATGAATTGCCCTCTCTGTCCTGCTCCTCCCACACATATACATATACACAATTTCTGCCTTTTCCCCTTTTTCCTGTGTTCAAGGGCCTCAAGAGGCCCAGGGGCAGGGGCTGGGGGCCTCTGAGCGCCTCAGGAGAATCCTAATCACACTGGAGCAGCCGGAGCTTGATTCCTTCCTCGGTGATGCCTTCTGACATTTAATGAGTTAAGGCGCTAAATCCCCTTCATCCCAGAGCGGCTGAGCTAGCTGCAGTGCTGGCTGCCGCATGAGCCGTGAGTGGGGGGAGGGGCCAGACGACACACACCTGTATCTGCACAGCAGTGTGCACGAGGGTGCTGCAGATCTGCATGTGTGCAAAGCAGGCAGACAGGGATGCTGTGAGCACATGTTAATGTGCATGGGGACATGACCCACCAGGGGTCACCCAGGCTGGGCCAGCCACCTACCTCCTCCAAATGGCCAGCACACTCATCACGGAGCCCAGGACGAGGAGGGCCGAGATGGTCACTACGGTGACGACAACGGCAGGGCTCTGGTCCCTGGACCCTGAGGCAGCTGGGAGGAAAATCACGAGGTTGAGGTCGGCAGAGGACCTGGCTCCTGGGCAAGCCCCAGGGCAGACTCCTATCCTCACCCTGTAGCAGGATTCCCACAGCCTCTGCACTTGGCACAGCCACGGAGCCACCAAGGCAGTCCCACTGACCACAGTGGCACCTGAAGTCCCAAGAGCTTCCTCTGCTCCCAGGGCAGGACACCTCCAGGTCAGCCCAGCCCCTGCTCAGAGAGAGAAGCAGGAGTCCAGACAGGCGGGGCCAGGCCTCCCTCTATGCCTTTCGGATGGGCAGTGAGAGAGACTCAAAGTCACTCTGCAGGAGGAATGGCCTCTGCTCTGAGATCCCTACCCCCAGTCCAGACCATCCACCAACAATAATAAAAAGGGCTAATGGTAACAGCACCTTACTCCATTCAAGATGCTGGGCCATGTGCCTTAACTATACTGTCTTGTTTCATCATCACAATAATCCAGGAAGGTATTACTGTCTCCATCTTACAGCTGAGGAAACTGAGGTAGAGAAGTTACATAATTTGCCCAAGGTCACATGGCTAAAAAGTGGTGAACCTAAGATTTAAGCATGACTCCAAAACTCTCTGCCTGATTCCAAAGCTTCTGCTTTGAACTTTTTCCCCAAGAGAGCAGCCTAGAGGACGCATGCTCTCAGCCCTACTCATAGATCTAACCAATTGGCCTATCCAATCAATCCATCCATTCATCCAACCTACGTGCCCGGTTTGCATTAGTACTGAGGAGATGGTGATGAATCTGGAGGGGTGCATGGGCCCATGGGTGTGACAGAAACAAAAATCTTAATTGTAGAATGAAAAAAGAAACAGAAATGAGCAGAGCTGAGCAGAGGCGCAATAATTTCTTCCTAAAGCCAATGAGGAAGACTTCACAAAAAAGGTGCCATCGGAACTGGACCTGGAGGCTGGAAGGATTCCTGATGTGCTTAGATGCACACGCTGGGTCTGAAAATGGCAAGTCTTCCCATGTGGCAGGGAGACAGACTGCATGAAGGCGGAGAGTGGCAGATAGGAAGCTGGAGGGTGGGAAGATGGAGGGAACTGGGGGAGAAGAACCTGGAGGGCCTTGAGTGCTAAGCTAAGGAGTATAAGCTTTCTCCTGTGGGCAACAGGGAGCAGTGGAGAGAGTTCCTGTCCAAGAAGAAAAGGAATGAGGGTGTCTGACGAGGTGGGAGTGAGGATGCAGAAGCGGTGCTCGAGAGAGGTGAAGGTTTGGAGTAACTGTTAGGAATGGGAAGAGTACTAAGTGGCCCTGAAGGCTGAACTGAGACTGGAAAAGTACATGCCTGCAGGCAGCCTCTGCGTGGGACACGGGGAGGAGAATGGTCCAGGTCTGGGGACTAGCAGCTGGGCGCAGGAAGACGTCCAGGGAATGAGGGCTGGCAGAGTTGGGGAGTATTTCTGATGAGATCATCTGCAGAAGCTGGGTAGAGATAGATGTGAGGCCCACAGGAACTAAACGCCTGGGAGATGAGTTGGACCCAATGAGCTGTCTTTGGAATGTCACAGGGCAAGTGAGGAGGAACAAAAGAAGAGAATTAGAGGCCCAAAATTCTAAAGTCAAAGAGGGCATTTCAGAGCCCAGGGTTCCAGAGGTAAAGAGGGCCGAGGGTCTGGGCAGGGACAGAGGGGATCAGAGTTGCCAAGAGCTGTTTGAAATGAGGCATCCATGTGGACACAGAAACGGGGAGTGAGAGAAAGATGGCAGCAGGGGGCAGCCTCTGAGATGGCATTCCTACCTCCGGGTATCCACTCCCCGGGAGTGTAGGCTGGACTCACTTGTGATGAACAGAATATGGCAAGAGTATTGGGATGTCATTTCCAAGATCAGGAAACAAGACGAATGGCTTCTGTCTTGGGTGCCCTCTCCCTGGCTCACAGTCTCTGGAAGAACTGAGTGGTTGTGGTGGGCAGCCCTAAGGAGAGGCCCATGGGACAAGAAAGAGTAGGCCTCAGCAGCAGCCAGCAAGACCCTAAGCAAGGAGGCGGACTCTCCCCCAGCTAAGCCCCGAGATGATCACAGCCCCTGAGGACAGCTTGACAGCAGCCTTGAAAAAGACCCTGAATCATGGCACCTAGCTGAGAGGCACCTATATTACTGACCCGTGGAAACATGAGATTGTAGATATTTGTTGTTTTCACCTGCTAGATGCTGGGGCAACTTGTTATACAGCAATAGGTAACTAGTACAGTGGTGAAGCATAAGCCTTCACCAAGACCCTGATTTGGGGCCAGGCATGGTGACTCATGCCTGTAATCCTAACACTTTTGGAAGCCAAGACAGAAGAACTGCTTTGAGCCCAGGAGTTTGAGACCAGCCAGGGCAACATAGCAAGATTCCATCTCTATTTTTTAAAAAAGAAAAAAGATCCTGGTTTGGAAGGCAGGGGTGGTGGCTCCCATCTGTGATCCCGGCACTTTGGAAGGCCAAGTGGATCACCTGGGCCCAGGAGTTTGAAATCAGTCTGAGCAACATAGTGAGACCCCCCCAAAACTAAAAAATTAGCTAGGCATGGTGGCGAGTGCCTGTCGTCTCAGCTACTTGGAGGATCCTGGAAAGTTGGGGCTGCAGTGAACTACGATTGTGCCACCGCACTCCAGCCTGGGTGACACAGTGAGACCCTATCTCAACAACAACAACAAATCTCAACTTGGAGACATGGCTGATGGGAAACCACGCTCTGCAGATTGGCAGAACCATAGCCATGGCCACAGGAAGGGAGGCTGGGATCTCAGGAGTCTCTACTCACTGAGGGGCACCCGATAAATGGAGACTATCAGGCCTTCTTCACTGACAGCCCCCAGCTCCTGCCCCCACCATGCCCACTCCAGCCAAACCTGCCCCCTTTGTTCAGGTGGCTCCCTCTCCCCAAAATGCCTCCCTGCCCATCTGTACACATTCAAATGTTCCCCAGCTGTAATCCCTTTCTAGCACCTGGCCGAGGTCTGACACTTTTCACACTCAGGCGAGAAGTGTAGTCTTCCTTCCCAGAACTCAGAGCCCCTCAACATTTTATCTTCTCCTCCCTTCGGGCTCAGAGCTCCTCCTATCTTGGATTAGAGTCATGTAGCAGGTTGGAAAGAATTATTATCTTGACAGCTGCTGCCAGAATGGCTCTTAGGGGAAACTGCCTTTGTTCAGGAAAATATTTCCATGAGCTGCTCAGGGTAGATAGAGGTGAGATCCTGAGGGCCGGGTTAGCAGCAGGCAAAGCAACAAGCTAAACTGCTCTGCACACATCAGGGAACTGGGGAGTGGGTGAGGAGAGGAACCAGGGGAGGGAAGTAAAGGAGGAGGGAGGAAAGAACAATATTGTGGAGAAGCCAGAGATGTTTTCAGATGAGGATCTTCAATGTCCAGTTTGTGTTTGGTTTTGACAATAGCTTTATTGAGATATCATTCACATACCATGTGATTTACCCACTTAAAATGTGTAATTCTTCTTTTTTTTTTTTTTTTTTTTCCACACAGAGTCTCACTCTGTCGCCTAGGCTAGAGTGCAATGGTACCATCTTGGCTCATTGCAACCTCTGTCTCCCAAGTTTAAATGATTCTTGTGCCTCAGCCTCCCAAGTACCTGGGATTGCAGGCGCCCACCACCACACCTGGCTAATTTTTGTATTTTTAGTAAAGACGGCATTTTGCCATGATGGCCAGGCTGGTCTCAAACTCCCGACCTCAGGTGCTCCACCTGCCTCGGCCTCCCAAAGTGCTGGGATTACAGGCGTGAGCCACCGCACCCAGCCGCAATCCTTATTTGTTGTGTTTATCACTGTAACGCAACCCCTTCATGTCTGTCAACCTTCGATGAAGTCAGCATCATACTCTAAGGCCTAGTGGGGAGAGGGACAGTGTCCTGTGTTTGGGTCTCTATTCAAACTGAGTTTCTATCCAGCCGAGACATGGGTTGTAGCTGTTCAGAAACCCTTGTAGCCTCTCCTGTGAGCTCCTCCAGGACAGGCTCCCAATCTAATTCACGTTGGTGAATAGGCATTAGTCAGTGGATTCCAAAGTCATTAATTAATTAGGCTGCAATTAAACTGTTCTGCAGGCTCCCTGAACTGCGCAGATAACTCCAGATAACTCTGCCTATCTATTTGTCTCCCTGCCTCTGTCCCAGGCAGGGTTCTCTCTGTCCAGGTTCCTGTCCACTCACACACACTACTTACCCTCCCCCGGGGTCTGCACTTCAATGCTGGGGTTAAAGCTCTGGGCCTCCCAGGATGGCCCTGGGGAAGCAGCCCGGATCTGAAAGACGTAGCGGGTAGCCGGCTTCAGGTTGGTGACGGTGACTGTGGGCGCCCCTGTCCTCACCGTGGAGTAAGCCTGCTCACTCTGACCCTGGAAAGAGATCGAGAAGTGAAGCCCACCAGCACCAGACCCGCTGTTCTAGGAGAACGAAGGGTGAAAGGAGCAGGGAGGCAGGAGAAGCACATGTGGGTTGAGTGGGAAAACCCAACCCCAATCGTCTTGGGGGATCCCAGGGATCTTTTCCTTGGCTCCTTAGCCCCTGTCTTCACCACAAGCTCCCACCCACACTCAGTGGCACTTGCAGCTGAGAATAGCCCCACCTCTGCATAAGGGAAATTTTAGAGAAGACACCAGATCCTCCTTCCGGGGGAACGATAGGATGAGGGCCACCAGGGCCTGTCGGTCCAGGCTGAGCTGGGCCAGTGCCCTAGGCAGGCCTGAAGCCTCAGAGGACAGAGTGAGAGAATGAGTCTTGACCCACGATGGCCTGCAATGGCTCACAAGGCTTTTCCTTTCCTTGACGTCTGATTTTCACAACTGTCCTTCATGGCTCTGAGGACAGAAATGATTATCTTGTGTGTTTGTTTGTTTCAGAGATAAGGAAACCCAGCTCAGAGGGGTAAAGACTCCCCCAAGGCCCCAGCTGGAGCTGTCACTGATGAGCGCCTACTCAGGGCCAGCTTCTGCAGGAGACCCTTTACAAGCCCAACCTCCCGTGAGCCTCACAACAGCCCCACGGAGTCAGAATTTCCATCTCCTTTTTAGGTGAGGTTCACATCAAGGAAAGCGCCAGTGCACCCTCCGAAGCCCTGCAGAGCCTGTGCTGACTTCTCGACATCACGGTGCCCCCACTCCACCCCAACACACCTGACAATGGCATACTAGAGACACTCCTCCCATCATTTCATCCCTGCCCGCACCTTATTAGAGCCCCCGCCATATCCACAGCCCCAGAAGTTTCCTCTCCCTGCTGATAATTTGTGGCTCCAGTTCTTTGGCCATACCATTCAGGAATTGGGACAGACTTTGACCCAAGCTGGGCCAATCAGAATCTCTCTTCTAGGCCGCTCAACAGTCCATTGAAAGACAGAGAAGCAGCGGCTTTAGGACCTAGGGGGTAGGGCAGGCTAGGGGCAGGGAGGAGGAAGGAGCAATGACATTGGCTATTGGCGACACGCTATGAGCAGGCCCCTCTGCAGCACGGGCTGGACTGGTGTGTAGAGAGAGGTTGAGATTGAGATGAGAAGCATGTGGTGCCAGAGAGGGGCTGCCAGATACTGCCCCCAGGTCCAGCGGCCCAGCAGGGCTTCAGCTCGGCAGGCTCCTTGAGAGAGCCCTGAAGCCTTTCAAATATAGCCCTTTTATACTTGTTCCTTTTTTTTTTTTTTTTTTTT